TTTCCATTAACATGATTTTAATGTGCAACAAGAGATCTCTACCTTTTATAATGGAATCAATGTGTGCACTCGACAACTTCTCAATTCCCAAGAGCCAATGATAAAAAAAGATTCGAAAACTAACAAGGCATTAATTGAAGAGTTTGCAAAGCATTCGAAGGAATACCACAATCCAAGGGAAGATATTACGAAAGGGGAGTCGAATGGAGGTGGAGCTCAAGATAATATGGCGTCTATCTTGACACTAGGTATCGGAGGATTACAAATATGGGGAAATTTATTCATGCAATTCAAGTAGGATGTGACAGTTGTAGCGGACCTCACTTAACAAAGGATTATGATTTGGACGAGAACTTGAAAAAAAGGCACAAGTTTGTTTATCGAGTGCAGATAGGTTTGATGACTATTGCAGAAGGCCAAAAAAGGAGTGGAAGCCCTATGACGAGTACAAGAAGGAGAAAGAAGAGATATATCGACAACAAGGTCACGACTTTTACCAAAAAGAGCAAGCACAACCCGAAAAGATACTGGATCTCGAAGGGATTTTAGCTTGATTCAGGGAAGCAAGCAAAATAAGACACAACGCCACTAATACTCGATCTCGAAGGGATTTTAGCTTGATTTAGGGAAGCAAGTGAAAAAAGACACAACGCCACTGATATAGCTATCATAGATTAACAAGCTACTCTCCAAAATCAACAATCATCCATTTTAAAAATCAAAACACAAGTGGGGCAATTATCAATGCATTTACAAGAGAGATTACTGGGAACATTGCCAAGCAATACCGAGATAAACCCAAAAGTGCATGTTCTTGTTGTGACAACTGAAGAAGGAGAGAAATCTGATCCATTGGTGATCTAAGAAACCAGTGAGAAGCAATATGATCAACAACCAAAAGAAGTGGAAGAAAAAAAGAAGGTGGCTGCCCAGAAACCACGATGTGGCAAGAACAATACCACATAGTGGGATCTGAAGATGAATTCTGAAACTGATCCTGTTAAACCTTATCGACCACCTCTTGCATTTCCATCACGAGCATGGCCTGAACAATTAGAGCAGGAGCAAAAAAAAATTATGAAACAAGTAAAATCCCTATCCATCAACATTACATTCATCGAAGCCATTGCTAAAATGTCGAATACGATTTTTTTGAGAAATTTAATAAGAAATCGCAAGGAATTGGAGAAGGATTCTACAATAATACTCAATTAGCAATGTTCAGCTGTGATTATGCAAGATATTCTTGTTGGGTTTTATGTACTCTAACATTCCTATGGTGTACATACAATCCTAATTCTTTGGATCTAAGTTTTCTCTAATTATACATGCAACATTGATATCCAAAGCATGAAGCCTAAACTAGCATACAAAATTTAACATATGAATCATAAAATTGGTTAGAAGGTTACCTCTTGATGTAGCTAGTAAGACTTTGGCCTTGTGAGAACTTAGCACCCCAAGTGTTGTGCTTCAAACAAGTCATAAACACCAATAAACAACTAAATGGATATGAGAGAGGCTAAGGAGACTCAAAATCGACTTCTCTTCTTGGAATACAAGTAGTAGTCGATTTTAGGGCTTAGGATAACATATTTATATGTGTAGAAATCCAAGAGTCATGTGTAACCCTAATCCACACATATAAACTTATGATCCATGCATTTGATTTGGACTAACACTTCATGGACTATCTATAAGCTTAACCCATCACAATTATGGATCATTAGCCCAATCCATATGTATCAATTTAATTAGTCTCTTTTGATCACTAAATTAATACTTGATCAATACTAATCAAAAAATATGATTTCTCAATTAATATATTATACTTATAATATATTAATAAATCATAAATAACCTCTTACTCAAATATTCATCTATCAAATTGTTCTGGTGAAGGCAACCCGAAATGGACCATGCTACTATCGGGTCAAGTACATACAAATTATAGTTATGGACTTAGACACCTAATCCAACAATCCTAACTAAAATTAGGGATCCAGGTAGTTTGACAATCCCTTGTGAATTTGACAGCTCGACAAAAACAAATGCACTCGCCGATTCGGGAGCTAGCATAAACTTAATGCCATATTCATTCTACCAAAAGCTCATTTTATCGGAGTTGAAGACCACTTGAATGACCATCCATATGGCAAATAGATATATCACTTAACCTCGTGGAATCATAGAATATTTGTTGGTGAAAAAGTGTCCGTTATCTTAGCAAGACCTTTCATAAGAACCGCTCGAGCACCCGTTGATATACGCGATTCCAAACTTATATTATGAGTGGGGGATGAAGAAATTACCTTTGGAGTTGATCCAAAATCCAAACTTTCAAAAGCAAGTAGCGATGAACTTTTCTTCATGGATGGAGTGGATGAGAAGATGTATGAAGAGGAGCAAGAAGAAGGATGCGATGATGGGTCAAATGAGCTTTTAGAGTTGGAGAATTTGATGGATGAAAAATTATTTAATTAGGAGAAGCCAACAGAAGAAGCACCAAGAGAAGTGAGGCATACAAAACCTCGGGAAAGTAGTTGCATATATAAGGCCTTAAGAGGAAGTCAAGGAAAAAAATTAAGACAAAGAGTCTAGTGAAGAACAGGAGGTTCACGAGAGTGAAAAGCCTACACAAGACAAGGTAGATGAGGACATGAAGGAACCTGAGCAATAAGCAAAAAAAAAGTTAAACCTGCTGGAGGAACTAATGGAGTTAAACGCAACCATCAGGAAGGCGTCAAGTTGAAGAAGAAGTGGAACTCGAAATATGCGTACAAAAGATGAAGGATTGCTTATAAGAAGAAATGACGTGAATTAAAGTTGCACAAGGAGATTACAGTCGCATCAATGTAGAGCGGGAAGGAGTCAAGCTCACGGATCCTACAAAAGAAGCACTTCCGGGAGGCAAACCACGATTTGAGTGATTATTTTTATATTTTTTTTATTTTTGATTTGTTACTGGAGGACAATTTCTTTGCGATTCCAGAGATGCCATTTTCATTCCCACGACATGGTGGCACTATTGCCACGACGTTGAATCATTATATATCGCGATCCAGTAGACCTCAGACTCGATACCATGACGTGGTCGACACTTTCCCACGTCGTGGTGACTGTAAATTGTGAAGATATATATTTTTACACCACAAGTCAGAAGTTCGTTGTCTTGGTTTATTTTTCCGGAAAAATTCAAAGCAGCAAAAGATCCAGTTTCCAACAATATTTTCGATCTGTCAATGCAAACCCACTACAATAAGATTTGATCTCGCCACTACTACCCCAGGGAAGTTAGTTCATTTTTCTCCCTTTATAGCTTTTATGTGCTTTTAATTGTTTTATGCATACAATGAAGGCATTGTATGAAATAAGTGTTGGGTAGGGGTCAAATAAGGATAACAAGCATACTTTAAAAAAATGTTATATGAAAAAATTTTAGACTTGAGAAATGGTCTAAATTAGAAAATCTAGAAAAATTAAAATTTTGATATTATTGCGTTAGAGCTAGTTTGCAAGTATTGTATGTGACAATTTGATGAGAACTATAAGATTTTGTTAAGTCAATTTGTTATAATATATTTGTGGTTTCTCAGTCTTAGTGAAATCATGAAACAAAAACACAAACTTGTGTAGTTTGAGAGACATAATATGTTTTGCATTGTGAATATCTAGATCCAAAAACAAAGCCTATTGGCCGACGATTTATCTCTTGAGTCATTTCTATTAAAACATATTCGAAAAAATGTTTTTCAAGTGTGGTAGTTAGATTTAAGAACAATTTAAGATTTGGAAATGAAAACGAAAGAGATTCTCTGTAAAAGTTGAAAGATCCTTGCTCTGATACAACTTGATGAGTTATGAAATCAATTATATGAATCAAGACATGAAGAAATGTAAGAACGCAACATGTAAATATTTATGTTTAGCTCAATATTAATCAGGAAGGAGGTTAGAGAGTACAAGTAGGTGAATGAGAGTGAAATGCATAAATTTGCGAGAGTGTGTTAATGAATCTCTAACCTACAACACTATTTATAGGAAATATGCATAGCGCTCTCGACTGGTCACAAAACATACATGTAAACTTCGACATTTAAGTACAAACAATGTTGCCATATGAAATAAAAAAGATATATCGAAATATTAACAATTTCGATATAGACTACAAAATAAACTTTCGATATTTGAGTCTTCATCATACACTAAACTTAAAAGATACTTTTGACGTTTGAGTTTCTTCATAACAAGTTATACTCAACATATATATTTAATTCTTTTACATAAACTAGGATGTAAGTTTATCCTAAATTCTAAGGAATCTTTATTTCTATATAAATAATCCATCAAATTCTTATGTTAATCGGAAAGGTGTTAATCACCTTTAAATACAAAGGAAAAGTCATTAAACATGTTACAAAAAAACATCATAAATTCTTCTTCTCTTATTCATGATTATTTAGCCTCTCACATACTAACTTTATCGTTAAAGTGAATTCTCGGATTCTAACCCAAGAACATTGTTAACCAATTTTTTAAGGTATTATAGATGTCTAGATCAAATCTATTTTCTAATCATTGACTTCCTCAATGATCAATGATTAAAACAATAAAACTATAAACTAAATATACTACAATTTTTTTATGAAAGAGAAGTAGCTACTCTATACCATATATATTCATCCCGATGGGAGTGAGAGAGTACTAAAAAAATACTTAGACTCTCATGGAGTAACGATGAGAGATTTGATAACCTCTGTATATATATGTTAACAACGAACAAACATGAGCTCAAACAGTGTGCTCACTAATGTTCATCTCATATTACCCTTTATAAGACTTAACTGTTCTACAAATCCCAATATTGATCCATAATCTTCCATGATCTATTGTTAACTTTGTGTTAGAAAAAACAATATTCTAGATTCTCTAGACATATAATATGGATAAAAAAACAATACCAAAATTTTCACCTGCAAAGAATAGTTCTCTCTTTTTATATTGGGAATTGATAGAATTAAGTACAAAAATCTAATTATATTACACATTTAAAAAATAAAATAAAACATTTCCTCGTATATATTTCATTATTAACTTATTCAACAACAACAACCAAATAGAAATCTTATAAGAAAATGGGGTAATATAGAAGTGATAATTAGGTAATCTTTCCGCACAATAGTGTCGTTGGTTTCAACTTAGTGTTAACTTATTATAGATGAGTAATACAGTCATTTGATAATATTATTATGAACCCAACATATAAAATTTTGCATGGAATATTTTATGCATATGCTTTAATATTGACAAGATCGGTAGTGTTTTCTGTTAAGAAACTTTTATACCATCTTGCAGAAAGCTTTGGTATTCGTGTTAGTGTTTGACGGTCCACATAATATAACCCAAACTTCAAATTGTAACCAGTAAGCCATTCATAGCTATCCATCAATGACCATATGAAATATCTGCGTACATCTGCTCCCTTTCTGTCATTCAAAACACCAAACATTTCATTCGATAAATAACGATGACACACTTTGAATTTTGAAGATAACTAGGCTATTTTCTAAATATACAAAGATAAAGTACCAAAAGATTGTAGAGCAAACCTTATGGATTTAGCTAAAAAATCAAGGTATTCTAAGTGGAATTTAACTCGTTTCACGTCATTTAAAATCACATTCACTCGTTTCTCTTGTAGATCGGGTGAAGAATATCCTGCAAAAAATACAAATTTGTGGGCATGACCAATATTATATTCATATTTAGTTTAAAATATATGTGAAACAAGACCCTTACCATTTTCTGTAATAAACATGGGTTTATTTTTATACCGAAACTTGATTTGGTTAACAATCTTCTCCATTCCGTTAGGAACAACGTATGTATCTTCCATCCCCGTCTTTTTGTAAAACAGAGATAAACATCATTAATATCAAATAAATTAAAAATAAACCAAATAATTAAAAATCATCATTTGCTACATACAGGTTCACCGATCAACACACCATCTCGCTCTACCATAATGTCAAGGAAACCTTGGATTGGACGATTTGCAATTGGAGAGCAAGTAGAGTTTGTACAATCTTTAACATAAAAAGACGAGTAATGGTTGATACCAATAAAATCAAGACTATTCTTCACAATTTTCTTTTCTTTAATGGATAAACTTGGTAAATCACTTCCAATGTACTTAAGCATTTCTAAGGGGTACTCTCCGTATATCAGGGGATCAAGTACCCTGTTTAAAAGTAAGAAGTTGAATAAACATTTACGTAAGAACTTGAGAACAAATTTTTAAAGGGAAAATTTTCAGTAAAACATCATCATAAGCATATAAACATGTCATATAGGCTAATCACACATCTAAAAACTAAAAATAAAAATAAAAAAATTGAAATATATATATATATATATATATATATATATATATATATATATATATATAGTGTGAGGTTAAATAGAGAACCATAATTAACAAGGAACCAGTCGTGAGCGTCAGAAATCATAATGATCAACGGCCAATGAAATAGATGTACACGTGTACATTGAACGCACACACACCAAATTATATCAAAAGGTCCACCTCCTTACCAAAAAGTTCACCTCTTTTTTTTTTAATTTTTTTAGGCTATATTTTTTATCGAAAAAAAAACCAAATATACCGTTGTTCACGATTTTCCATCCTCTTTCTATAGAGATCAATATTGATATATAAAAAACGAACTTTTTTTTTCGAAAAAAATTCACTTCATCTTGTTATTTTTTTTAATATTTAAGTTTATTTTTATCCAAAAAAACTAGTTATACCAAAAATATTAATTTTTTGTACTCTATTAATAAACATCAACACCGATTAAAAAAAACTCGATCAGTTCATATTCACACTGTGAATCTAAACTGTAAATATTTCAATTTTTAACATTTACAATGTGAATTTGACTTACTATTTTAATTATTTGATCATTCGCAAATTAACTTAGTGAAATTTACATATGAATCGAAATATATTCCATGTAGGTTTATAATATTTTAACGTTTTCATTACTCATAAATTAGTTTTGTAAAATCAACAAATGGATTTATTCACATTGTAAATCTGACTTATTATTATTCACACTGTGAATCTGAGCAGGTTCACAATGTGAATTTGAGTAGGTTCACAATGTGAATTTGAACTGAAATTTCGATTTTTTTAAACATGAATATGAATCTATGTTTAAAGAGTACCAAAAAATATGAATTTTGATATATCTATTAATTTTTTTCTACAAAAAAATAGACTTTAACTTTTCAATAAACAAAGAAAATGAAGTGAGTTTTTTGAATTTTTTTTTTTTCATTTTTTATATATCAATATACATCTATATGGAAAGAGGACGAAAAATCACGAACAATTGTATATTCGATTTTTTTTAGATAAAAAACATGGCCTAAAAAAATTAAACGAAAAAAAATGAAGTGAGTTTTGTTATAATCGGATACATGTGCGTCCATTGTAAAAGTATACAACCCTTTCTTTTGTCGTTGATCGCTTTAAATTTTGACGTTTTGGATTGGTTCCTTGGTTAGTTGATTAATAATGGT